AACTTTTTTCATCTTGCAAACTGTGTCACCTCTGGCACATTTCTGACGTGACTATTTTCTTTTTCTCTCTGTGGCCATTTTGCAATTTTCTCCGGGTTTGTTTTGATTGTAAATAGGCACACACATTAGCTAAAGCCAGATAATTTTCTCCTGGCCAGCTTTGCCAGTAAATCACTGAGCTATGTAATTGGGTTTGTATAAAATTATGCACTGCAAACTTGGGAATAAGTAAAACAGAAACAAAAAGTTGATTTTTGTAAATAGTACCATTTTTTTACATTCAGAACTTCTGTTTGACTCCGTTTTTCTATTCCCTATCATGATAATTCTTTACATCTTGAATGAAAATCCAGCTGCAGGATAAATTCAAGCAGAACTGATAATAATTTCTGGTTTGGCTTGTAGGTGGAGTTGAATGCAGTGGTTAACTGCAAGCAATATGTTCTGAAGATGATGGTGTTCAGACAAATACCCAATTTGATTCTCATAAATTGGATGCAAGACTTTGACCAGCATGAGAAGAACAGGTGAGAACCCTTGAGACTGATGCAGAAATAATCAGTATTTTGATGGTCAGGAAAAATATTGCTCCAGCAGCACAATAGATCTTCTATTAGAAACTCAAAATACTAATTACAATCTGCCTAAAGACTTATTATAAATGAAGTGGAGATGGAAACATGTTTATATTATGGGGAGGCTTATTTGCAGATAAGCAGGAAACCAGTCACACATCTTCACAAACATAATTTTAGCTGTTTTAATTAGCAGGTTTGCTTTGATTTAATTTAATTCAGCGATTCCTTCTATCTTTACTGACACATGTGCAAATAAAATGGGCTGACCTGACTCCTGACACGCCGTTTCCTTTTTCATTTCTGGATTTGTTGTTGTTGATTCCGGCAGTGTTTACGGTGGAATGATGGGGTCAGCACTTCCTCCCAGCACGGCCACAGATGGAGGGTGGGGATGACAACTCTGCATCTGAGGGGGCTTTTTTCCCCCTGCACTGCTGATTCCCGAGGTGCTGGATGTCAAAGGCCAGCAGGAGTCCCAATAACCTCCAGTTTCCAATTCTATTTAGGGTCGGAATGACAAAAAATAGAGTTTTTTTTGTGTGGTTGTGGTAAAAGCGAAGCGACCTTTTATTTGCTATAGAGCCAGACCCTGGCAAGAAACCCCACGTGTGCATCAGCTTTGGGTGGAAAAACAAGCTTTAAAGCTGTCAGAATTCATACATTTCATGTTTGGAGATTTGGTGGGTTTATTTAACAGTGAAAGTTGTTATTGACAGAATAAGAGCACAAAGTCCAGGCTAAAATCACAACATTAATACACTGACAAAACCCCAATCTGTGTTGACTTTGTTGAGCTTTTTGTTGGTCTGAGGGCTTGGAAAGTATTTTTTCTTCTTTATGTCAGAAAAAGCATTGTGAGTACGCCAGGTGTTGTTGTCCCCTCCCTCTGCACCCTCCCTCTGCAGTCTCACAGCTCTATGATAGGTAATTAAAACAATCACTGAAACGTTTCAAAGCTACTGCAGCCTTTACTTGACTTTTAAAATTCCTATTTGAAGAAGAATGTTAAAATTAATTTGTATGTGGCTCAGCAAAGTGCTCTTTACTTGAGCAATGGACTTTACAACATTGCCAACAAAAAGAATGGAATTAATATTATATTTGCCTTTATCTAGGGTTATTCTGTTAACTGTTTTATACTAGAAATTAATTTCAATATCACACAAATGCCTGCAAGTCTTGAATGCAGCAGTTTTAGCATGCAGCCACAGCTCCCCTAGTTCATAATCGTGGTAAAAATAAGAATTCAAAAGGAATAAAGTTGCCAGGACAATTAAATGATTCTACCCCCAGATAATGGAAGGATGAAGTTTATATTCTTGGGCTGTAAAATTTGTAAGAGGGAAAAGTGTTATTAAAGAAGTACTGTGTGGTTATTTTGAAAAGAATGTAATTTTACAAGTTTGTCTTTCTACTGAGGAAAAATACTTCGGAGACGACAGGATAGGAGCATTTTTGATGTGGAAACATTCCTCCATTTTTCTTCCCCTTCTCTACTTTTCGTATTTCAGTTCCCTGCTTCTGTAGGCCTTTGGAAGCCTTGTAATTCATCCTTTCTGGAATTCCTGGTCTATGGGACAGGATTTTATTATTAAAATAAGCTTTTTTTGCAACGTATTCTTTTTGATCCTTAAAAAACCCTTAATCTTTACAAATGAGTGTTTTATGCCCCTTTAAAGGGGATCCTTCTCCCTCCCTTCCCTCACTTGTCCCTCTTTGGGATTGGCCCTTCCCTGGCGTGGGCAGGAGTGGTGGCAACCACTGTGAGCAGAAAAGACAAGTTGAGGAATTTTTGGGATAAATGGAATAGGTTCAGGCTTTGAAAAGACTGATTAAAAAATGGAAAAAGCCAGGTAGGATGGAAGGTTCTGCATCTCCCTCGTTGGTGTGTGGGGAATCCTTGCCCGGTGTGGAAGTCAATATGTGAATAAAGGAAATGTTTTTACATGTTTACTTATGGAAATCTGAGAGATACCAGGAAACAGGGTGCAAACCAAAAATATCAATACTGACAAGTTCAAATAAGGACTTTTCACTATTAAATTTCAAATATACCACTATTTGTGCAAACATTTCCCATTTAGGAAAGAGAGCATAACCTCTGTTTTTGCTTCTTTGTGGACATTTTTAACTCCTTCATGAATGTGTCTAAATCCTTTTCTTCTAACCACACACAGGCATGGCAAACAAATTTACAAATGTGGATAAAAATACAACTTAAATCCTCATCTGCGTCCTTGCATCAACACAACTCAATCTGACAGTGTGTTTTTGCCAGGTGGAACAAAGAGCAATAAATTAGTTCTGAACATTTATGATCTTGCATTATAAAGACTCCAACAGACTGTGTTCAAAATCAATTGTCAGAGTGATGGGGATTAATAACTCTGGTTCTGTAACCTTTTCCATATCTGCAGCCTGGCTAAGGGCACGTTTCAAGATCTGCTGCCATATTTCATTATTGCAACCTCCGTTTGAAAGACCTTTTTGATGCTTAAAAAAAAGAAACAGATTAGGTTTTAGTAGGGCTGGATGAATAACTCAGAATTAATAATTCACTCTGTGAATTTTGCCTCTTATTCTGTAGGAAGACTGAAGAAAAAATAGTTGTCAAAATTTTTCTAGTGACTCATTGGGGTTTTTTTATTAATCAATAGTAGAAATCAGAATTCAGGCTGTGTTATGTATTTGTGATTGATCAGTCAGGTCGTATTGGTTTAATTCCCCAATTAATTGAGGACAAATACTAGAATAAATTTTATTATTAAATATTTGAGGAGATAGTTTTTAAAAATCCCTTTCCACCTTCACAAATACTCAAAATCAGGTTTGGAAAGATCTCTTGAAAGTAAAAATCTGAGTGCACGGAATTTGTTGGAAAGGAAATGCAAATTAGGCAGGACTGTGGCCAAGACAAGTTTATTACAAGACACAAATAAGTTTGAGGCTTCCATAAAGTTTTCCTTCTTACCTCCAGCACCTGTTTTGGAAGAAGAGTAATAAATATTGGGATAAATATGGGAGCGAGGTAAATGAAAGGTTTATTGAATTTCCCCAGCCACTGTGCTGTGTTTTGTGGGAGGGAAGTGTTTGATGTAAGTGAAAACCCCGTGAAGAATTGGCACCTTTTGGCTCTCTCTGCCTCCCAGCTGGAATCTTTGCATCCCACCTGTGCCAGGCTAAGAGGCATCCGTGTCTTCTGCATTTTGGTGCACTTTACTTTGCTTTCTTCCCAAATAGAGATAAAACAGTTAAATATTTCCCCAGCAAATCCCACATGTGATCTCCAGGGCCGTGCATACCATCAAACTGTCATTTCCTTCGATTAACCTTCGCCTGACCTCCCTCCCCCAGGCGCTTTCCCATCCCCTTCTCCTCCACTGGAGCCTGGTGCTCTCTCAGGTGAGTGCCTCTGTCACTCAGGAGCTGGACACGCTCCTGGGGAACCCACTGGAGATACTGGCATGGACAACTGGGCAGAATTTGCCCCAAATTACTCAGCCCAGAGCTGGGCGTGTCCTGAAACGCAAAGGAAGCGCAGCTCGGATAAGAGCAGGTGGAGAAACTTGAATTTTAAGAGTGTCTATTAAGTGTTTTATGCATATTGTGAAATGTTTAAGACCATAGAAGGTTCATGACTGAGATCTACAGGACTTTTCTGTTGTAACTCCTTCATGTTGTCAGGAAGGGCCAGTTCGTGGAGAAATAAAATCAGGACCAGGAGAGGGTCAGAGTTAACAAGTCACCTCCTAAAAACAGCAGAATTTTGAAATTGCCAGGGTTGTCTATTTCATAATTTTGAATTCCAACAGGTCTGTGTTTAATCTCAATTTTTATCTACAGATAACAAGAAAATGAAAATTAGGAAGCCCAGAAAAAACAAAGCATTTCAAAATTATTCCTCCCTACAAAAATTTCAGTTATTCCAAACTGAGCTTTTTTTACCTTGTGGTTTGCAAGAAATGCTGATGTTTGTGTCATCTTGGGACAATTTAATTTTATTTTTTTGTCCTGAAATTCCTCTAGAGAGAACAATATGGAACTAAGATATTATGAATCCAGTCGGATCACACTTTGGGCCGACAGCAGAGAAAGCAAAGCCTACATTGAACCCATAACTTCTGCTTATGGAATAAAATATACTTGGGGATGGTAACAAAGGCCATGTGTAGTGAAGAATCTCTTCATCCCAAGGTAAGCTGGTACAGTGGCACTAGCTGAAATGAAGCACTTTGGTTCTAGGCTTAATTTGACTGTTAAATCTCATATTTTTTGCTGATAAAAATGTGCCATCAGAAGCTTCAACATCACATCAATTCCTATGGATGAGGATGGTTTATCCCTTAAATCAGTCTGTGATGTAGTAAATAGGTCAGAAAATTCCTCACCATTTCATCACCAGGAATAAATTACAGATTTCACAGGATTTTTGTAGAGAACCCTGGAAATATTTCTTTGGAAAAGACCTTTAAGACCATCAAGTCCTTTATTTTTTTCTGCCGAATCCCACTTTTTCTTTTTTTTTTTATTATCCTATTAACACTTAAAGAGCAGAGTCTAAGTATGCAGCATTCCATGATTTCTACTCAACCCCTGAGATCATAAAACCTGTTGGAAAATAGTTTTAAAAGCAAGGAAAAATTTGCAATGTAAGATTCCTGTGCAAACACTGGATCCATTCCTTCTGCTGAGAGTATATAATCTATTTTTTAAGTTTTTATTCATGCTGGCTTTTGTTTTTCCCCCATTCCAGTGGGAATGTTGCATTTATATGTTCCATTTATGAATTAGGTGGAAGCAGACATTGCAGATGGATAGTGAAGATTTTGGTGAGAATTTCCAGCACAGTGTGGTTGGTGGGCCAGTAACACCAAGTTCTGCACTGGTGGGAACTGGTGTGACTGATTCAACTCTGCTTTAATTAACACCTAAAAAAATAATTCTATAATTCCACAGGGATTGTAAGAAAATCTCACTTTTGGAGTAAATGTGACCCATTATTTTCCCTGTTGAGTTTTTTCCAAATGATTCTCCAGAAAAAAACCCCAATATTTTCTGTGCAATCCTCCCCCAAACCAATCTGCAGTGACGGGGCTGTACTCACCTGCTGGAGTGGAGAATTTAAATGGAAGAACAAAAAGAAACTGAAATTGCCTTAGGGATTGAGGTCAGGTGAAGGTTAATCAAAGGAAATGACGGTAAAATGGCATTCAGGGCTCTTGGTACATTTTTAATCATTCCTCTCTCTGTCGCTCATAAAAGGCACAAAAGATGTCCAACTTTTTGCCATTGTATTTAGTTAAGGATGACTTCTATTTTTGTCTTGATTGTTTTAAAATAGCCTTTCTTTTTGATTTCTCTCGTAGATTTAGCTCCTGAAAACTTGCATTGCAGTGCCTTAAAGATGTGTGTGGGAAATTGGGAATGTGTGTGTGGGGGGAAGAAGAATGTTAAGAAAAGGGAGTAATTTTCCCCAGAATATCTCTCATTTTAACTTCTCTTTCTCAAGTGATAGATTTTGAAGGATTTCTAGAAGTCATGAGTTTAGGGAATAAATACTCAGGAAAGCTAAATATTCACATTATTACACAAGTGTCAAGCTAAGTGAAGTTCATGATTGCAACTACTGGAAACAAGAATAGTTTCTTTCATACTCTGCTATCTACAAGTTATTGTTCTGGTTTTAAATCTAAGTATTTTATATATATTTTTTGTAAAAAATATTAGAATTTTATTAGATTGCTATGAAATTGTAAGGTCATCTCTGAATTTTCAGGCTGTTGGTTTTATTCTGATTTTGTGTATGTGAAAAGGCCCCGTTTGGGATCTTTTCTTTCCCAAGTTTGGAGTGGTCACTTTATGCCCGTCACCTCAGATAACTTTGGCATATCTACAACAGGAACAGGAGCAACTTTATGTAACTTATAACTGCCCAAGGCAACTTTTAAAAAATGTGAGCAATGCGTTTTTTTTTTCCACCTCTGTATAGACTCCCTTCCCCCTGTAACACAAAAGGTCCTAAATGGGATGGATTAAACCCAAAAAGCTCTTAACTGAGGTAACTCGGTGTAGCAAATGTGTTCTCCCTGCTCTTTCCATCAGTGTTGTGCACTGAGCCCTTCAAATGATGCAGCTGGAGCTGAGCTTAGGTAGGACCTTAAGCCAGGTTTAGGCAAGACCTTAAGCCTTTGGAGAGGTTTAAAAAGACATCCCTGCCTCTCCATGTGAATTGTCCCTGCTGTGAGTTGCAGGAAAATGAGATTTTATGCAGATGCTCCACACTTTGGGAAAAAAACAAAACAAAAAAAAGAAATAGTCTGGAAGTGATTTCCCTGTGTGTCCCTGTGCTGGTGTGGCTGGGATTGCCACTGGGAACATGGCACTTTTCCTCCAGATCCCACTTAGCAACGGCTGCCACATGGATGCCAGATGGGCTCTTTGCCAGCGAGGAGGAGGAGGAGGAGGAGGAGGAGGAGGGAAAGCCCTGCCCGCCCTGCAAACACTGCTGAGGCAAAGCCCATCAGGAAATTGGTGGAAAAACTGGGGGAAAATGGGAAATCGGTGTCAGAAGTTGTTGAGCACAGGTGGGGTTGGGCTGAGCTCGCTCCCAGGGACGGGGAGAGGTTGGACTCTGCTGCTGGGGCTGCAGAAGCTCCCAGCAACAAATGTGTGGTTTTGCAGGCACGGAGGGATGAGGAGCCCGGGGATTTGTGTGTCCACAGGGTCTGACTGGGGTTTTGTGCTGCTCTAGCAGTGCCAGTGCCAGGTTTGTGCAGGGCGTTTTTCAGCTCAGCCTCAGCCCCAGCAGCCAGAGCTGCCCCTCTAAGTCCCTGCCTGGCTAAACCTCGGTCCTGCTAACAGAAACCCAGACGGATTTTGGTGTGTCTTTGGCAAAACAGAAATATGTGTTTAAGAAAAAGAGCAGAATGCGAGAGAGAGCTTTTAAAATGAGAGTTGAGCACCTGAGTTGAAGGCAGCATTAACTGCTGACAGCTGGAGCACTCCTGGACTGAGGGAATGTGATTTTTCCACCTGGTCTAATGGAAGATGCCCCTGCCCATGGCAGGGGAGCTGAAACTGGATGAGCTTTAATGTCCCTTCCAAACGAAACCATTCTAAGTTTTTGGGTTTTTTTTAACAAACAACGTGACCTCAGAATTTTGCTGAAATAAATTCCAAGGAACCATAGCCAGTCCATATTTCTATTTTTAAAATATCCAATAAAAATATTTAGTGTATTACACCCCTGCATGTCCAGATTATCCAAATCTTGCAAAGATCAAGTTGGTTTGAGCATATTTTTGCAGCTACTGGGACCATCACTCCCTCTTCTGCCTGTAGATCAGGGCTGCTTGTGAGGACAAGAAGTTATGATCTGAATGTAGCTGATTAATGGGTTTGGGTGTTTGCCATGTTGTAAAGTGACTGTGGGATAAAATAGGAGTATTTATATTTTCCCCATGGGTGGAAAGTGGGGTTTGTGGGCAGAAGTGGGGGTCTGGTGCTCAGTCTCTGCTGAAGTTGAGGTGAGGGCAGTGAAGCAGCTGAACTGAGGGGAAGCTCTGCCTGGTGTCTCACAGTTTTTCAGGCTGGCTTTAACATCTAGTTCTGAATTACCAGCCTGAGAGGGGGGCTCAGGGTGAGGAACCTCACTGGAGCACCAAAGGAATATGATAAAATATGATGGAGGAACAGCAACCACTGATGGCTTGGCATTTCCTTTCACTCCCTGTTTCTGGAGAGAAACCTTCCATGCGAGTATTCTCAGGTGATGCCTTGGTTTCTGTTGGAATAAATTGCTTGTCTCAGTTTGATCCTTGAGCCTTTTGATAAAAATAATGTGATTTTGTGCCTTATTAGAAGCGTGGTTGAGTCCAAACCCTGGCAGGGCTGTGCTGGGTGTGAGGGATCAGGGCAGGTCAGGGATGTGCTGAGTACAGAGGCCCTGGAGGCTGCTGGCAAACAGAGGGTTTGTCTCTGGTTCTCTCAGCTTTCCACCTTCATTTTCTACCCTTTCACCAGCAAGATGCAGGGATGTTCAGGAGAAAATTCCCGCTGTTTAATTTAAGATGTCCAATTTAGGTTGCTCCTGGCTGTAACAAAGCACAAGCTCTGCTTGCTGCAAGTCTCTTCAGTTGCAGAGTCAGTTTTCCATTGGAGAAGAAAGCACAGTGGGAGCAGCTCCACATCTCAGACAGGGCTGTTCCCCTCCAGAGCTGTCACCAGGCCACTGGGCTCTCACTGAGCACCCAAATCTGATCCCCTGTGGGGTCAGAACCAGTCATTGAATGGCAATTTTATTGTTGAGGCAGCTCATTTTATCGTGAAGATTTCTGTGATAAATCCTCAATGCAAGCCAGGTTTGAAAAATAAAGGAGTCAAAGCCTTTGAAAACATTTCCAAGTGGGAGAGTTTCACAATGAGCTTGGGGTAAAGCTCTTTTTTCACCAGATGCTCAGTTAGGTGGGAATAATCTCCACGATAACCTGCTGGCTCATCACTTCTCCTGGTGCTCTGTCCCATTGGCTCTTGCAGCTCTGGAATCAGTGAGCAGCAGAGGGCAGCCAGCTCTAATTTCAGATTAGGGGAGGTAGACCCCCTTGCTGGGGTCATTTGTTGTATCATCTGAAGTTAATTTAATGCTCAAAATAGAGACAAGCCGGTTCTGAGGGATTTTACCCTGAAAATGCCCTGGGAGCAGCCACTCCCTGCACTCTGCTGCAGGAGGATGGAATCCAGGAGCACCTGGGCTCCACCCTGTGCCAGCTGCTCCAGGAGGACCTTGCCTGAGCAGTGGTGCCTCCAGCCTTGCCCATTACCCTGTGATGCTCTGGAGGAGAGCATCAGCAGCCAGGACATTTCTCTGTGGGGCTGGTTTAGAAACAGGAGCTGCCTGGAAGGAGATCTTTGCAATCAGGGAGGTTCTCCCTCCTGAAAGCATCAGAAATTTGGGATTTCTGCTGTCTGGGCAGCCCTGAGAGGCTTCGGACCATTTGCTGAGGCCACCTGTGTTATGGGTTTAGAGGATGTGTCACTATTTCACTCTGGCATCCGTTCCAAGTCCTGATTCTGTGCATCAGTGTCTTTCAGATGAAGAAAGTGAAATCCTTTCTTGCCCCTGGTGTCTGAGTAAATTGATATCAAATTCTCTAATGAAAAGACAACTGTTGTCAGCAGGGGCAAGCAACAAGAAA